TACGCAGTTTTCGAGAAAATCGGAAAAACGGTATAAACAAATTAGCTGCTGACGAAAATACCAAAAACTAAGTCGATCAAGAACACGCCACTGGGGGGTTATTATTAGTCTAGTGGGCCTCTATAATCCCTGAAATTTTGATCTTGTTAGTATACGCAATTTTTGAGAAAATCGGAAAAACGGTATAAACAAATTAGCTGCTGACGGAAATACCGAAAACTAAATCGATCAAGAACACGCCACTGGGTGATTATTATTAGTCTAGTGGACCCCTACAATCCCTGAAATTTTGATCTTGTTAGTATACGCAATTTTCGAGAAAATCGGAAAAACGGTATAAACAAATTAGCTGCGGCAAGCACCGAAAACTAAATCGATCCAAGAACACGCCACTGGGTGATTATTATTAGTCTAGTGGACTATAATCCTTGAAATTTTGATCTTGTTAGTATACGTAGTTTTCAAAGAAAATCGGAAAAAACGTTATAAACAAATTGGCTGCTGACGAAAATGCCGAAAACTAAATCGATCAAGAACACGCCACTGGGGGATTATTATTAGTCTAGTGGGCTTCTATAATCCCTGAAATTTTGATCTTGTTAGTATACGCAGTTTTTCGAGAAAATCAGGAAAAACGGTATAAATAAATTAGCTGCTGACGAAAATACCGAAAACTAAATCGATCAAGAACACGCCACTGGGGGATTATTATTAGTCTGATGGGCGCCATAATCCCTGAAATTTTGATCTTGTTAGTATACGCAGTTTTTCGAGAGAAAATCGGAAAAACGGTATAAACAAATTAGCTGCTGACGAAAATACCGAAAACTAAATCGATCAAGAACACGCCACTGGGGGTTATTATTATTAGTCTAGTGGGCCTCATAATCCCTAATTTTGATCTTGTTAGTATACGTAGTTTTTGCTCGAGAATATCGGAAAAAACGTTATAAACAAATTGGCTGCTGACGAAATGCAGAAAACTAAATCGATCAGAACACACGCCACTGGGAGATTATTATTAGTCTGATGGGCCTCTATAATCCCTGAAATTTGGTGCTTGTTAGTATACGCAGTTTTCGAGAAAATCGGAAAAACGGTATAAACAAATTTAGCTGCTGACGAAAATACCGAAAACTAAATCGATCAAAGAACACGCCACTGGGGATTATTATTAGTCTAGTGGGCCTATAATCCCTGAAATTTTGATCTTGTTAGTATGCGAATTTTCGAGAAAATCGGAAAAAACAGTATAAACAAATTAGCTGCTGACGAAAATACCGAAAACTAAATCGATCAAAGAACACGCCACTGGGTGATTATTATTATTAGTCTAGTGGACCCCTATAATCCCTTGAAATTTTGATCTTGTTGTTAGTATACGTAGTTTCGAGAAAATCGGAAAAACGTTATAAACAAATTGGCTGCTGACGAAAATACCGAAAACTAAATCGATCAAGAACACGCCACTGGGGATTATTATTAGTCTAGTGGACCCCTATTATCCCTGAAATTTTGATCATGTTAGTATATAGTAGTTTTTCGAGAAAATCGGAAAAACAGCAGTATAAACAAATTAGCTGCTGACGAAAATACCGAAAACTAAATCCGATCAAGAACACGCCACTGGGGATTATTATTAGTCTAGTGGGCCTCTAATCCCTGAAATTTTGATCTTGTTAGTATACACCAATTTTCAGAAAATCGGAAAAAACAGTATAAACAAATTAGCTGCTGACGAAAATACCGAAAACTAAATCGATCAAGAACACCGCCACTGGGTGATTATTATTAGTCTAGTGGACCTAATCCTGAAATTTGGATCTTGTTAGTATACGTAGTTTTTGAGAAAATCGAACGTTATAAACAAATTGGCTGCTGACGAAAATACCGAAAACTAAATCGATCAAGAACACGCCACTGGGGGATTATTATTAGTCTAGTGGGCCTCTATAATCCCTGAAATTTTTGATCTTGTTAGTATACGCAGTTTTTCGAGAAAATCGGAAAAACAGTATAAACAAATTAGCTGCTAGCGAAAATACCGAAAATTAAATCGATCAAGAACACGCCACTGGGTGATTATTATTAGTCTACTGGACCCCTAATCCCTGAGAATTTTGATCTTGTTGGTATACGCAGTTTTCGAAAAATCGGAAGGAGCATAAACAAATTAGCTGCTGACGAAAATACCGAAAACTAAATCGATCAAGAACACGCCACTGGGGATTATTATTATTAGTCTAGTGGGCCTCTATAATCCCTGAAATTTTGATCTTGTTAGTATACGCGGTTTTCCGAGAAAATCGGAAAAACAGTATAAACAAATTAGCTGCTGACGAAAATACCGAAAACGAAATCGATCAGAACACGCCACTGGGTGATTATTATTAGTCTAGTGGGCCTCTATAATGCACGATTTTGATCTTATTTTAGTATGGGCAGTTTCGAGAAAATCGGAGAAAAACAGTATAAACAAATTGGCTGCTGATGAAAATACCGACTAAATCCGATCAAGAACACACGCCACTGGGGGATTATTATTAGTCTAGTGGACCCCTATAATCCCTGAAATTTTGATCTTGTTAGTATACGTAGTTTTCGAGAAAATCGGAAAAACGTTATAAACAAATTAGCTGCTGACGAAAATACCGAAAACTAAATCGATCTATAACACGAAACTGTGTGCTTGTAGTTAGTAGTGATATAAATCATGACCTTTTTTTGTTGTTTCTGTCGATATGATAGTAACCAATTGTTGATAAAGGTAGTAGTACTAGTACTATCATAAATGAATTAGTTTTTTAATTTTTTTTAAATTTTGGTTACATTAGTATAATGTATACATATTTTATAAAATTAGGCGTGTCAATTTAAAATTATAATAATTAATCCGATATAAAAATATCGGTAATAATTTATTAACATAATGAAGCATACTTCGTTTTAGTACTATTTAAATATTAATAAAATTCTCCTGCAAGAAATTGTATGATTATTTCATATTAAGTTAAGTCGCCCGACGCCACTGGCCCTTCGGCTATGTTCGGCAAATCGGCCGCTATCTTTTGGCTGCTAAGTTCACATCAGTAATTTTCAAAAAGGTATTCAGGGTGTTTCGAAAAATATGGTCATTGATTAATCACGATCCTGCTTAAAGCGCTTGACGGCAAGCGTTTTTGGAAAACAGTTGTTGATTTTTAGGGTATAAGGAGTTCGATAAGGGATTTTTCAGGCTTTCGAATTCTAAGGGGGTGAAACCACCCCTCAAATATTAGAATATTTTTTATTTAAAAACCGGTGAGTTTTTCGGAAAAACTCTTAATCACGTATATTTTATTTTGTTGTTTTACATATTTTAAGATTTTTTAAAAATTTATACAGGGTGTTTCATAAAATATGGCCATTGAGTATAATCACGATTCTGCTTAAACTGCTTGACGTTTAAAGCTGATTTTTGTCAAACGAATTGACTGTAGGGTGTAGAGGTTCTATAAGAAGGGGTTTCTCGAATCTCAAATTCCAAGAGGGTGAAATCGCCCCTCAAATATTACAATATTTGTTGTTTAAAAAACGGTTAGTTTTTCGGGAAAACGCTTGGACACGCATAATTTCTTTTTTTTTGCATATTTTAAAATTATTTAAAAAATGATACAGGGTGTTCCAAAAAGTTGGGTAGTTGATTAACCACGACACTGCTTGACATAAAAAGCTTATTTTTGGTAAACGGATTTTTCGAAAGTCAAATGCCAACTAGATGAAACAACCCCTCAAATATTACCAAGTTATATAATAATATCGTCATATTGTTTTTTCTCATGCTGACATAAATGTGAGAAAATTTTATCCAGTTTGTATGTTAATGGAAATTATTGCTTTCCTTTATCATCGCCATTACAAATGATTAATTCGACGCGAACGTTATTTTCATGCATAAACGGTTTTATTGGGATTTAATAATATAAAATTGTTCACGCATACCGTGCTAGCAACTGTTACTTTTGGGTCGGTATTTACATGTGTGGAAGTAAATCGCAGAGGAATCTTATAAGTCGGAGTGAGAGAAATGCGACGGTGTGCCGTTGCGTTGTTGCCGGTACGCCTCTCCCTATCAGGTGAAGTAAAATCACGATCGCAAACCGCTTATTTTTAAGACTTTTTCGAAAAGGTAACGAGATAAAATCATTAGATTTATGTTTCTGAGCATCTGAAATGGAATTATAAGGATATCGTTAGGGTGTCCATTTTTTTTATAACGAGAAAACGTCAGTAATGGCGATAATTTAAAAACTCAACTTTTTAACACAACACGCCATAATTTAAGAACCACTTTAGATATTGAAGCTTTTTTATTTTGAAGATCGGATTATTTACAATATGTTTACATAAGAAAAATTCGATAAGGTTATTTTTTTTATTCTAAAATGTTAACCAAACCAAACCAAACAACTCATCCATTTACTTTTAGTGTATAGTCAGCATGCTTTTCAGTAATCGTGTTTTTTATTTTACTTTTTTATTTATAAAGATTTTTACATACTGTCTGCGAAGAATTTTTTTGAAAAACTACAATCAATTGTTTCTAATAGATTTCGAGATATGGATTTTTGAATTCAGAGTTCTAATAGCGCAACCACTGTCGAACACCAACGCAAGAGTATTGCACTTAAAAAATGTTAAGCTATATTTTAAGCTAACATTACGACTCGTTAATAAATAAATAAATAAAGTATCACGAGACGTAATTAAATCGTGAAGCTGAACGCATGATGTACACCAAAAATAAGCTAATATGACGGTCGTGAGCAGTCTTGGCCGTAGCCGATAATCTCGGCCTTTTTGTGCCGAGAACGAGAACGAGATCTCGCTCGGACCTTAGTGTCGACCCAATTTTTATCTCTTTAATACATTTGATTTTCCATTAAGCTGTCTACATCACTGTCTGACACGTTAAAATCCAGACCGCACAGTTTCGATGACCAAATCGGTATATATTTTAGATTTTACAAATGGCTACAGCACCTGATACCCATCGTTTAAAATTATTACGTGAAGTAGCTGGTACTAGAGTTTATGATGAACGTAAAGCTGAATCTGTTGCAATTTTGAAAGAGACAGAAAGCAAGATAGAAAAGATCCACGAATTCTTAACCACAATTGAGGAGAGATTGTCTACGTTGGAAGAAGAAAAGGAAGAATTGAAACAGTATCAGCATTTTGATAAAATTAGACGAGCTTTGGAATATATTATTCATGAGGTTGAACTGAATGAAAATAAAAAGAAATTAGCCGAGGTAAAAATATTTAAAAAATTTTTGCTTCAAAGAAATAATACATAAATAATCCAATTTTAGTTGGAAAAACAAAGAGACGAATCTGGTTCCGAACAAAAAATTCTAGCTCAGGAACTGAAGAAAGCTCAAGATAACACTAAAATGTTAGCCAAAAAAAGCAAAGATTTAAACAAGGAACTACTTTCAATAAAAGATGAAAAGAAAATTTTAAGCAATGACCACCAGCATTTGATTAAAGAACGAGCTAAATTGGAACTAACTATTAAAGATTTGTCAGATGATGTACAAGGTTGATTTTAATATGAAAATTAGCTAATATGTTTTTTAATTTATATTTATTTTTCAGGCGATAACAAGTCGAAAGAAAGAGCAGAAAATGAGCTGGCACGTCTAACACAAACGATTAAAGAAAAGGAGGCTGAATTGGACAAAATTAAGCCATTATACGAAGAAATGAAAGCAAGAGAAGAGGAATGTACAAGAGAACTGGCACTGAAGGAGCAAAAGAGGAAGGAGCTGTATGCAAAGCAGGGCAGAGGAAGTCAGTTTACCTCAAAAGAAGACCGCGACAAGTAAATTATGATTAAAATATGCTTTATTAAGTATTTAATAAAAAAAATACTCATTATTTAAAAATTAAGTAAGATTAAAAGGGCCATGGATTATTAATTATATTGGTTCTTCCTAAAAAGACAGATAAAAATCACATTTTTTAATGTTAAAAATTTTAAATTTTGATTAAGCCTTAAGGCTGAACTCACTTAAGCGTCAGCGAGCACAGCGGCGCACATTGGTCCACAGTCCACTATTTTTATTAGTGTAGGTGTATTTCGTCATCTTCCATACAGAGTCGGCATTCGGCGTCTTCCACCATTCCCATCCTCTGTAGGTATGATCTCAGGTGACAGTGAGCCGTGTATACTGCAGTGAACGTACGCGCTCCATTCCTACCAGTCTTTAAGATAACGTTCTGCAGATAAGCTGTTCTACGTTTGGATGGCTATGCTAGGATTTTCTTGGCATTTTTCATTCCGGGACTGTCATTCCAGTCCTGAAACGTCGCTAACCCATTTACAGAGCCTGTCTCTTGCGAGATTTTTTGAAACGCTAAGTGTCGGTTCTGAGCCCACGAATGGTAAACCTGCGCCAGTTTTGGCGAGGGAATCAGCACGTTCGTTTCCTTCTAGGCCGACATGTCCCGGTATCCATATTAGCGACACTTTGTTCCTATCTCCTAATATATTGAGTAATTTCTTACAATGAAGAATCTTTATAGACGTGCTTTTCTATAAAGCCTCAAGTGCTTTCAACGCGGCTTGACTATCCGAAAATATGCTTATTGTTTTCTCGGTATATTGCTGTTCTACAAGCAGTTGCACACAAGTTTCAATAGCATACAGCTCAGCTTAGGAAATTGTGGTGTGTTTTCCAAGACCGTGGTAGATCTCAGTCTTTGGATTGCTGCAGTAAATTCCTGCGCCAAGTGTAATGTAGTGTGGGTGTCATGCATCTGTAATGCGTCGTCAGTCGTACAAACCGTCATCACTCCACGAACAAATTATCCAAACGACGCGCGACGCGGTAATTTTTGATTTGTTTAGTATTCCTTTTAGGCTAATCTGATTTCCTCTTATGTCTCAAGTACTGTACGGTGGAGACACCAATCGTTCTGCGATCAACTCATAAAACACTTATTTTCTCTAATTCGGCCAGCGAAGGCATTTTGAAGACGGTGTGGATCTGAAAGCGACAATGTTGTCATATTAAAATGTGTTGGTTTTTGTTGGGTTGGTATTAAAATAATATTTTACATATGAAATAACAGCGATCTTCATTTCCAAGCCAACTCTGACGCCGTTCTTTGTTTAATCATATAATATTATATTAAATTGTTTAATGATAGAAAATCCGTATTATTAACGTACTGTATGTACCCAGAATACGTAAATCTAGGGATTAATCATTATTTCTGGCAAACACTGTCTACGGCAACCACTCGCTTTGTCGACTGAAAGCAGAACTACGGTCTGCTATGGTACAGTATTCGCTGTAAACGACTGATCAGCGCGCAGCGGCGCACAGCTAAACTAAATCTCGGAATTCTCGGACAGGCTGCCGGTAACGCCAGCTACATCTAGGACAGATTTTCTGGCACACGAAATCGACCATAAAGTTGCGCATCTTCTTATTTCTTCAACCAACGATTTTATATAACTGATGGGCGAGACCTGATAAACAGGCAATTTTTTTATATTGAAAATATTACTATAGTCTGTCTAACAATATTAAATATGAGTTATAATTTTGGAAATATACCATTAAAATTGCATAAAATCAGCTAAGCATGACGGATGCACGTAAAGCTATACTCTAATGTCATCGATAGTCATTTCTAAAGTAACTTGGGCCCATTTTTTTCGATCAGACAGTGTTTGGTATTTACTTTTTACAAATGTTTTAATTTTTTTATTAATAAACTATTCATGTATCTATACCTAGTAGAAAAATGCGTCATTGTCCTTTCGTATGTACCCAAGGCTTCATTTGCGGCTTTTTTAAGCATTTCTTGATGTGGTTGTATTTATTGGTCATTGCTGTTTTCAAAAGGTGTCTTTTTAAGCTTTTGATAAAAACTCTCTGCAATAGTTTTGTGGTGCTTTCGTGTTCTAAGCTATCTATATTGTATCGCGTTTGGACTATTTTGTCATATTGATCTAGTTGTTCTGTATGTTTTGTTGCAGTTTGTTTGATGGGAAATCCTATTTTTGCGTTTAATAGATGATGATCGCTGCCACATGTTGCGCTTCTGTAGACTCTAGCTTTATATAATTTGGGTGTGGTGTTCTGACTTAATATTAGGTAATCTATTATGGTTTTAGGGTTTCTTGTGCTCTTGGTCCACGTGAATTTATGGATCATGGGGTGTGGGTAGAATCCATTCGTTATCGTTAAATCGTTCTGTTCGCATAGGTTTATTATTCTATATCCGTTGTCATTCGTAATGTGTCCCCCAAATTGGCCCACTTCATTGTCTTTGAGCTTTGAGGTTCTTTCATTTATGTCCCCTAATATTATTATTTCTCGAGATTGCCCGACGTGGCTTATTTCTTGGTGCAAGCTTTCAAAAAAGTCCTTTTCGTTTACTCTGGTGTCGTCATTTACCGCATATACTCAAATGATTGTTATTTTTGTCGTATGAATTATCAGGTTCATTTTTATTAATCTTTCGTTCATTGGTTTCCACGATGTTATATGCCTTCCCAGGTTTTTTGCGATTACAATTGAGATGCCTTGTTGTGCTCTTTTTTCCTTGTGTTTCCTACTATAGAAGTAGTCGTATTTACCAAGATTTTCCGACCCATGACCTTTCTTTTTTGTTTCCGTTATTACTGGTACTTGAACTTTTAGTTTTTCCAATTCGAACATGACTTCGTTTTCGTTAATTTTACGAGATAGACCTTGTACAGGGTGGTCGAAACTGGTCTATTTTAACAGAGAAAACCTATTTCCTGACTAGATAGAGCAAAACCGACATAGATGTCATGGGCTCGATTTCTGAGAAACGTCTAATGGCGTAAACCGCCTGTTGATATTTTCACTGCCCACTGAGATACGGGGTCTTTTTGAATTTTTTACCGTTTTGAAAATTGCCCATAATTTTTTTATTTTGCGGAATAATAAAATTCTCTAAAAACGTTATTAAGGCACTTTTTTAGGCACAATCCAGTGGCGTAGTTAGTTTTTTTTCTATGCTTGCTCTTTTTGTCAGAAATAATAAAAAATATAAATTTTTAAATGGAAATCATAGTTGGCTATGAACTTAAAAAAATGCTGGCGTTTTACCCTTTCCAATGATCTAAAGTTATGGACATCTATTTCTAAGAATGAGAGAAATATAAGGTTTTTGATCTTTATATCGAAGCGGGCCTTGATTTCGTGTTGACCTATTTGCCTAATTATTTTTTATGACAATTTAATATTCTATATTATTATTTATCTGCATAATTAAAGACTTTTGAAAAGGTAAATTAACATTCTATATTAGTATTAGTAATTACAATTGAAATCGATACAATAAACAGAGAATAAAACTAAAAAAGTATTTTTGAGTGACGAATATAGTTTTCTAAAAAAAAATCATCAAAGATGTTCCAACTGAGCACCCCCTTGTTGAATACACAATAAACATCTTTTGCGCACAGAGTCACAACAATTTATTAGGCGAACTGGTGTAATAAGTCCAAAAGCTTGCCTAGTAGCCTTCTGTAATTCTCTCGTCCCAATGGTTCTTCCCTTATATATAAGGCCTTTTAATTTCCCCTATAAAAAAAGTCGAAAGGAGTTACATTACAGGACCTAGCAGGCCAATATATGGGATCCCTTGTTCCAATCCAATTCTCTCTAAATTCTCCAGTTAATAGTGCAGTTGTAACCCTGTGGCTTTTTAATTGTAATTGGTAATACTAATATAGAATGTTGATTTACCTTTTCAAAAGTCTTTAATTATGCAGATAAATAATGATATAGAATATTAAATTGTAATAAAAAATAATTAGGCAACTATAGGTCAACACAAAAATCAAGGCCCGCTTCGATACAAAGATAAAAAACTTAATATTTCTCTCATTTTTATTAATAAATACACATAACTTTATATTGTTGGAAAGGGTTAAACGCCAGCATTTTTTAAGTTCATAGCCAACTATGATTTCCATTTAAAAATTATATTTTTTATTATTTCTGACTAAAAAAGCACGTATAGAAAAACTGATTACGCCACTAGATTGTGCTTAAAAAGTGCCTTACGAAAGTTTTTACAAAATTTTATTATTCCGGGAAATACAAAAGTTATGGGCAATTTTCCAAATGGTAAAAAATTCCAAAAGACTCCGTATCTCGGTTGGCAGTGAAAATATGAACAGTCGGTTTAGGCCATTAAACGTTTCTCAAAAATCGAGCCCATGACATCTATGTCGGTTTTGCTCTATCTAGTCAGGAAATAGGTTGTCTCTGTTAAAACAGACCAATTTCGACCACCCTGTACAGGGTGGGTCAAATTAGACGCTATTAAATGAAAACACCCTTTTCTATTGGAGATAGACGAAAACTAATATCGGTGTCTGGAGCTCAATTTTCATTAAAAACATGATGGTGAAAACTGCACATCAATATCTGTTACCGTTTCGGAGTTACGGGGTGTTTTTCAAAAATGTGCATTTTTAACAATGTAAGTGTCGCTGTAACTTTTTTACCATGGAAAATTTTGTATTTCTATGAAAACATTTCCAAAGCACCTTTTTACGTAGAATGTAATGGTTTAAGTATAATTTTTTTTAAACTAATAATTTAAGAGTTATCAACAGAAAAATTGATTTTTTATTTGGGACACCCTCTATATTTTTAATTAACTGAAAAGAATTTAAAATTAACTTTCCAAAAATATAGCACACTTGATATTTTGTTATAATCCCCTTCGAAATACAGAATTTTTAAAAGTTTACCACTTTTAACTAGTAGGCTTTGGACCCCTTATTGATGATATAACCTTAATGGAACTGGAAAACATATTTTTCCAGCAAGGACGACGCACCGCCTCTGAACTCTGAAGTTATCAGCAAATTTTTGCAGCCAATTTCAAGAATAATTGACTAGCTAACCAAGATCCCAGCCGTTGGCCGTCGAGGCCGCCTGATTTAGTGCCCATGGATCTAATCCTATGGATATATTTGCGGAAGAATAAAGGTTCCTTATTCTTCCGTATAATCTAGACAAGAATTAGAAATACTTAGCAGTTATGAGAGGGTATCTTTCACCCCCACTGAGTTAATGAATTCCACGAGAAATGTTCAAAAACTACCCCGTCTGTCCATAACAGAAGACGGTCGATATGTCGAACACTTGTAGCAAAATCTCATGTCTTGGTTTGCTATTTATTTTTATTGTTATTAGATATAGTTTAAATGTGTTGAGGTTGGTTAAATATATTTTAAATTGTTATAAAATTCTGCATCTCTCATAGCAAATATTATTTTCGTTTTAATTGATTCTCACAGCTAGAATTTTTTTGCATTACAGCCGGTGCCGTTCAAAGCCTACTTATTTAAAGCGGGCGAATTTTTATATATTCTATATCTCGAAGAGGAAATCGGCAAAATATCAAGTGTGTTATATTTTTGGAAAGGTTCAATGTTGTAATGGCATTCAATTTTGTAATTTTTTTCAATTCTTTTCAATAAATAAAAATATACAGGGTGTCCCATATAAAAAATCAAATTTTCTGTTGATAATTCTGAAGTTATTAATTTTAGGAAAATTATACTTAAACCATTAAATTCTACGTAAAAAGGTACTTTGGAAATGTTTCCATATAAATACAAAATTTTCCATAGCAAAAAGTTATAGCAATCTGTTAAAATGCATATTTTGAAAACACCCCGTAACTCCGAAACGGTAACAGATATCGATATGCGGTTTTCACAATCATGTTTTTGACAAAAATTGAGCTCCAGATACCGATATTGGTTTTTGTCTATCTCCTATAGAAAAGGGTGTTTCCATTTAAAAGCGTCGAATTTGACCCACTCTGTACATTCCAGATTCCAAAATTCGTTATCTGTTTTCGTTGCTTTTGTCTTATAGGTTTCTGTTCGTTCCGAGGTTTTGGACTGGGTTTTTTAACATTTGTAATTTTTCATACCTCAGCCCCCATTTCGGAGGACCAGGTTTTTTATTCGACATTCCTTCCTCGACAACTCAATTACTATACGAAAATTGTAGTAAGTTCTTTAGCTTAACTTTTACGATTGCAATTTTTAGATGGATCCAAACTGAATTGAAATCGTTAAGTAAACAACTAAAAGATAAAAAGGACCACAGAGACAAGCTAGAGGCGGATTTGAAAAGAGATGCACTAAAGGCAATTGATTTACAGAAAAAAATTGAAGAACAATCACTAGAACTAGAACGGCAAAAGAACTACATTGATGAGTATAATAAACAATGCTATGACCTAAAGAAAAGCAAGGATCAGTTTCAAACAACCAGGAAGTATGTGCAATATGCGGCATTATTCTGTGGCCGTTGAATTTTTTAACTAAACCAAACTGAAATAAAATATTTTTGCTGAATAGATTGGTATCCGGAAATTTTTTATCTTTTCTGTTTAAATATTTGAGGAGCAGACTTTCTAGATGCACTTTGTCCATTTTTTCGAATTTTTTCAAACATAGAAAAAGTGCTACGCTTTTTGTAGGAAACTTACCGACAAACTAGTAGACTTGAAAAACGGATAAAAAAATCATAAAAATAGTACACCTACATGTGAAAAATCTAGTTTTCATGATACCTGAAAAAAAAACTGTAACTGTCTTTTAGACGTGAAATTTCTCTTTATTTTTCTGCTACCACAGTCCGTATCCCCAACTACATGCTTCCCAGTCGTAGTTCCATTCATTATTTTAAGTAGTGTTATTCAAAAAAATATAGAAGTTGTAGTACAAAAAAACCTCTATCTGACAATGACAAACAAATAGCAGTATGTTCATACCATCTTACGGACATAGTTCTCTTTGTTTGTCTACCACCAATGGACATACAGCATATAGAAAGTCTCAGGTATTTTAACCATTTAATTCGAATGGGATAAAATGCATTAAGAACGTCGTTTCTGACGTAATATTGTAACTCGGTGTATGTAGTTTGCTTTGCCACCTTTGGTTGAAAATCTTAAAAAATGGACAAAATGCATTTAGTAAGTGTTCCTCTTTGCTTCTCCTCATTTATTTACACCGGGTGCGTCTCAAAAGTGGCTCACCCCCTATAACTTTTTCAGTTTTTCAGATAAAAAAACGAGATTTGGTTTGTTAGTATGTATTCAATTGTTTTTGGTCACTTTTTTTACTTTATTCGATAGAAAATAAATCTCTAAATTGAATGACATATCATATGTCAACTTTTGACATTTTCGCATATGGTTTATTTGAAATTGTAACATACTAACGACATTAACAATTTGTAATTTAATTGTAACATTAATTGAATAACATAACGACACTATGCCTCGAAATACCAAGTGTGTGATACCAAATTATTCGTAAAAATGCTTTTTCCAAATATGCTAATCAACCACCCTCGCTCTATTTGAAAAAATTGAGATAAATTAAAAAAACGATTTGGGCATCTTTTAACTGGTGGATTAGGACAAGACGCAGAAAACATTAGATGATCAAATATATTTTTCCAAGGTTCCTTCATTAAAAATTAGTGTTTTTAACGAAGCCATGACACTCTAGATTGAATTTTAAAATACGATTTTTTTAAAGCAAAATTGACAAAAGGTGACATATGATATGTCATTCTATTCAGAGTGCCATTTTCTATCGAATAAAGTAAAAATATACCGAGGGTGCCGTTTAAAAATTAAAAGTTGTAGTCGTTTCCGGTGAAACAGGAAGTGACCGAAAACAATTGAATATGTCAATCAATCCTAATTTATATCATATACTAACATACCAAATCTGTTTTTTTTTAATCTGAAAAAATAAAAAAGTTATAGTGGTAAGCCACTTTTGAGACGCACCCGGTGTAATGTTTATATCAATTTTTAACAAATTTTATTTCAATGGCTACAAAAAAAGGCTTTTTAGACTGCATAGTTTTCCCTAAATAAATCTGTTCAATTATAGGGAATTATGGAGAAAAGAAAATCATGTTCAAGCAAATTTGACATCGCTTAAAGAAGATTTAGCTAAGGCTGACCAACAATTAAGATCGATGGTGGGCAAGCCAATATTGAATGGTCGCGATAGTGTTCGCAAAGTATTAAACACTTTTATAGGTAAACTTTTACTTATTTTATGTTCTTATTCAGGATGACCTAGTATTCCGAAAAACCTCTATATCATAGAGCTCTATATCTATCAGGTTTTCTATTTGAAATTTTCACTTCAATTTTTTACAAATTATTATGCAATGGTAGCGCATATTTCGTAGATGTACAAACTGTACAGGGTGGTCGAAATTGGTCTGTTTTAACAGAGAACCCCTATTTCCTAACTAGATAGAGCAAAACCGACGTTGATGTCATGGGCTCGATTTCTGAGACACGTTTAATGGCATAAACCGCCTGTTGATATTTTCACTGCTAACTGAGATACGGGGTCTTTTTGAATTTTTTACCTTTTTGAAAATTGCCCATAACTTTTTTATTTTGCTGAATAATAAAATTCTGTTAAGGTGTTCTTAAGGCACTTTTTTAAGCACAATCCAGTGGCGTAGTCAGTTTTTTTCTATGCTTGCTCTTTTTGTCATAAATAATAAAAAATATAATTATTTAAATGGAAATCATAGTTGGGCTATGAACTTAAAAAATGCTGATGTTTAACCCTTTCCAACGATATGCAGTTATGGGTATTTATTTCTAAGAATGAGAGAAATATTAGAGTTTTTATCTTTGTATCGAAGCGGGCCTTGATTTTCTGTTAACCTAGTTGCCTAATTATTTTTTATCGCAATTTAATATTCTATATTATTATTTATCTGCTAAATTAAAGACTTTTGAAAAGATAAATCAACATTCTATATTAGTTTCGCCAATTACAATTAAAATGGAAATTTCACTTCTTTCGACTTTTTTATGAGCGAAATTAAAAGACCTTATATATAAAAGAAGAACCATTGGACGAGAGAAGAATTGCAGAAGGTTCCTAGGCAAACTTTTGGACTTATTACACCAGTTCGCCTAATAAATCGCTGTAACTCTGCGCAAAAGATGTTTATTATGTACTCAACGAGGAGGTGCTCAGTTTGAACATCTTAGATGAATTTTTTTAGAAAACTATATTCGTCAAAAATACGGTTTTTAGCTTTGTTCTTTGTTTATTGTGCCAATTTCAATTGTAATTACTAAAACTAATATAGAATGTTAATTTACCTTTTCAAAAGTCTTTAATTATGCAGATAAATAATAATATTGAATATTAAATTGCCATAAAAAATAATTAGACAACTAGGTCAACACAAAATCAAGGCACACTTCGATACAAAGATGAAAAATCTAATATTTCTCTCATTCTTAGAAATAAGTACCCCCATCACTTTATATCGTTCGAAATGGTTAAACGCCAGCATTTTTTAAGTTAGCCGTTTTATCTCAGTTAGCAGTGAAAGTATCAACAGGCGGTTTGTGCCATTAAACGTGTCTCAGAAATCGAGCCCATGACATCAACGTCGGTTTTGCTCTGTCTAGTCAGGAAATAGGTTTTCTTTGTTTAAACAAACCAATTTCGACCACCCTGTACAAAATTCTAGTTTTTTAAATGTAGCATACTCTACATTTGTTTTCAAACATTCTCATTTCAAAAATTCCGTACCGTCATAATCTATACCTAGCTTTTTCACAATTTAGAAAAATCTCTCATTTAAAGATTTTTCTAAATTATGATGTTACAAATTCGTTATATTTTTTAATTGTATCTGTGTATGTATAAAGGCTCAAAACTAATTGTTGTATTTTTTTTCTACTATATTGAATGTAACGACTCTATTTTCTCACGAAAAAAGGTCAGAATTTTTATCCATCTTTGTTTTGATAAATAATGTTTATATCCAATAGCGATGTATATGTATATATCCTGGTTTTTGGTTTTATAATTATTATTTTCAGCAGCACAATAATTAATACAATATTAATTTGCCCTATAAAGAACTCATTATAAATTTGTCCCTTAATGACAAACGCCTACCTGTAAAATAAGCAAAACGCAAATAATGTGCTTTATTGATAAGATCTGTGTTGATTTATAACGGCTGGATAAAAAGCTATAATTTATAATAGCCGGATAAAAACTGTGATGGCTTGATTTATAATCTAAAATACACTATGAGCGAGAAAAAAAACGTCTATTTGGCTTCAGTGACTCTCAGTGACATTCTCGATATAATTTTGCATATAAAATGACAGCGATCTTCATTTCAAAGCTATCTCTGACGTGGTTTTTTCCTTCAATCGTATTTTACTTGTACAGGATAATCGAAAAATGCATATTCAAATTTTATGTGGTGATTACTTATAAAACAAAATGTCAAACCAAAATGTATCAATAATTACCGTTTATTTAACATTGAAAAAACTTTTAATATTAGAAAATTTAATCTAAAAATGGTTATATTTCAAAAACTATTCAATATAAATTATATACTTTATGGTTTATTTTTAGACTGAGAGTTATAATAAATCTAGTGTGTGCAATAAAAATATATTTAGAATGCGATCTTACAGATCTATTGTGTGTTCCCCTTTCTTGAGTTATAACGAGTTATAACTTATCATACAGTCTCATAAAAATATATAGCATTCGATTTAAAGAAACTATAACTTTAGTAAATAATGTCTATACTTTTGTAGCGGGTTCATTTCTTGAATCAAAATTGGTTTCCGTTTGAATTCAACGAAGGCGGTGTTTACCAAAAATATATTTTTTTTATTTTGTAGATTTTCTTCTAGTGGCCAAAAAACTCTTTGTGGCCTCGTGGCTAAAAAAATATTTTTTTAAGAAATATAACTTAATATAACTTTAGTATAAAAAAATGAATTTTCTTGCTTGAATCATCTTTTGTGAACAATATATTTAGTATTAATGTTTTATCAGCATATTTTATAAAAAGGAGTGGAATTCTTGAATATAGAAATTTTAAAACATTTTCCGATGCACGTCATCAAGTTTGAGTGACAAGCGATGGCGACAGCGCTGCCAGATTATGATGGTTTTATGAGATGAATATTAATTTAAAAGTGACAAATATATTTAGTACAATATGATTTTTATATATTTTTTTTAAGGCAGCAGTTATTCGCTACAAATTGAAATAAATAGAAATAACTTGAAAGTGGTATAATGTGCTTACCAATCAATCTTACTTCTCTGACTTCTTTCAAGGGTAATAAAAGACCCTTATTGCCACGTTCGCGTCCAAAATATTTTATCAGGGAAGCTATAAACGCTTTGCTTCGACTGTTTAAAGGCTTCAACATATTTTCAATCCACAATTTCAAATAATGCAGTAAAAATCTCGAAAATTTAGTTCTTAAAGGACTCTTTGTGCTTAGGAATACAATTTAAGAAAAAAAAACTATGAAAAACGGCAAAAACGATAATTACTCCCAAAAATTCAACAATACGATATTATACAAAATAATGACTGACACTAGGATAATTGTCAAATAATACACGACAACATTGCTGAACATAGCACAATGTGACCAACAAGGCGATAATAAAAATCGCTTTAAACTAATTTTTTCAGCTTTAATCTAAATAAAATATCTGTTACAATCATTTGCTCTATAAAGTATAATGAAGAGCTGCTTGGTATTTTAAATTAGTCATCAAATTTAAACATTTTTGCTAAAATTTCATTTACTTAGGTTTATAGGCTTCAGTGTCAATTTCGATGTGATTGATGACGTGCATCGGAAAATGTTTTAAAATTTCTATAGAAAACCTGATATGGAGCTTTTTGGTTTGGTTTGGTTTGGCACACACTAGACCAACTTGTATAATATTTAATAAATAATATTAGTCAATCACTTGTTTCAGCTCGGGGAGGTAAAGAAGCAGATATAGCGAAATGTTATTATGGTCCGGTAATAGAAAACTTTGAATGCGAGAAGAGCATCTATATAGCTGTAGAAGTAACCGCCGGAAATAGGTTATTCCATCACGTTATCGACAATGACAAAGTGGGAACGATGATTCTTAAAGAAATGAATAGGCAGACGTTGCCGGGCGAAGTTACTTTTATGCCCTTGAATAGGTTGAACGTGAGAGAACAAAATTATCCAAATGACGCGGTAATTTTTGATTGATTTTAATTTTTTAGTTTGGTTTGGTTTGGTTTTCAGCCGCTGTATTCATGTCCTGATAATCCATCTTTTTGGACTGGCATTGTCCTTAATTTACAATATTTCGGTCAGATTTATCACTGAAAGCAGCTGGTAGATGCACCCTTTCTCCTCACCCTTTCTCTTTCCAGACTTGTTAGAGAAACTATAGGCTTCTTCATTAGTTTTTTTATTCATTAGTTTTGTCAAACCTTATTAGGTCAAGTCGCTTCCCGAATCCTTAGGTTAGGTTAGGTTGCTGGGGTTTGGGATCATGTTTGATCTTTCACTCGGAGGTCTTGGGCCCATTGCGATACCCCCTGTTATTAACGTACCAAACCTTCCTCTCATTCTTTCTTTGCGTTAAAGCACTCCCAGCTCTTTGCAAAATTCCCGATGTTGCAGATATTGGCTTCTGCTGCTTCCTCTAGTCCATCCAAAAAACCTTGCCCTAATGTTTTAAAACGTCGGTATTCCAGTGCCGGCACAAATAGTGGGTCATCTGTCACGGCCTCTCCCCTGGCACCCTCTTTGGCGAGTCTGTCTGCTTCTTGGTTGTCCACCACAATTCCTTTATAGCGTAACCTCTGCTTGTAGAACATTACAGCCATCCGCTAGCCTTAAAGATCATCGAATGTCTAGTTCCTCTGAGAAGATGCCTATACCTGTGCTTGAAGTTAGGAAGCATCTGTATAGACTGCTATCTCTTGAGTGTTAATTACTCGGTTGCTTTCCAATTCTTTTCTTGTTGGGATTCGAATCCTTATCTTTTCTTCAAAATCATGTTTGGTGAGCATATAGTCCGTTTTCTGGTCTAGGAGTTGTGGACTCGTGTTCGCCATGATTTTTCCTATCTCTGGCAATATCCTCGAGTGACCGTAGTTAGTCTGGTTCGACAGATTGGATTCCCTTAATCTTGGGGTACCCTTAGCGGCCAGATCCTTCACAAGCCAGTCGATTGTTTGCAAGTCCAGAATTACTTCTAGCGCAGCTTGCGCTGTGTTGTTCCTTGCTCCAGTTGTACCTAGAGCTGCTAATCGCTGTACTTTTGTGAGGCTTTTTCTATTAGGCTCTTTAAGTACCGGTTCCCACTATACTAGTGTTCCATAAATGATGATTGGTCTAACTGCAGCAGTGTACATCCATTGTATAATGTACGGTTACAGACCCCATCTATCCAAACAGTTTCTTACATGCATAGAATGAATTTATTTCCTTTTAACATCCTTTCCTCTGCGTTCCTTTCCCAGGAAAGCTTCGAGTCCAGAATGATTCCTAAATATTTTCTTTCCTTAGCAAGCACAAGTGTTTTCCCTTCCAGCTTTGGTAGCGTGAACTTGGGTATCTAGTATTTTCTTGTAAACAGAATGAGTTCAATTTTGTCTGGGTTGATGCCCAAACCATATCTTACCATGCAAAAACATACAGTATGGCATGACCAAATAAATGATCAGCAAAAGTGTATTGTATTGTTTACCAGATAAACATGTTTTACGGGAAATAACACAACTTTTTTAAAAAACTGTTAAAGTCAAAATCTACTTGGTCATAAAACATTTTGCACATATAGTATCTGTTTTCTAGGACGCCATTGCAATGGTTTCTAAGCTAGACTATGACCCAAAATATGACAAGGCAATGAGATATTTATTCGGAAAAACATTGATATGTCGACACTTGGATGCCGCTACTAAATTAGCACGAATTACTGGTTTGGATTGTGTAACTTTGGATGGTTAATATTTTAACAGGAATCCGTATTCTCAAAATAGGCGTAATCTTTAATTTTTAGGTGACCAAGTTTCTTCTAAAGGATCTCTAACCGGCGGATATTTTAATACATCCAGGTCACGTCTGGAAATGCAAAAGAACAGAACAGAAACGATCGCACAAATTCAACAGTGTGAAGAGGAGCTGAAAAAATTGAAAAGTGAATTGACTGAGACTGAGGCTTCTATCAACACTATTGTATCGGATATGCAGAAAATTGAAACTAAAAATAGCAAAGCAAAGGGCATATTTGATAAAGTAAAAGGTAGGCAGTTTATGATTACTTTTTTTTCTTTTTAAAACCAATGAAAACACTCATTTTGTAATTTTACTATAGTTCTAATATTTCACGACTACTTAATTCAATTTTTATTTCTGCCGCATTAATGTTTACGATAGTGTTGGGAAAAATCGGATAATTTCAATCCTCGAGGATTCCAATAATCGGATGATCATCCGAGAAATCCTCGGTCATAAGATTTTCTCTCTATAATATCTCTATCGAAACCTGAATAATCCTCGGCGCTGGGTGTGAGTGATTTTGCTTGCTGTTTTTAACACACTGTTGCTATGTACTTGGATGACTTGAGAATAATATTGTAATAAAAATAAATAATTATGTTAAACATTTTTTAATAATTTTTAATATTTTCGTGTATAATTTCATGTGGAAAATAAAATTTCCATAGGTTTTGCTTTAAACTGTGCTGATTTTGTTTCTTTAACTCCGACTTTGAGACTAATCTGGCATCCTTTCAGGCCAAATGAAACCAAGTAATTCTAGGAAATACGGGCGGCTTTTTTAAAAGGGCTCGTTATTAATTGTTTATTTGTCGGCGGTCGGTCGTTGAGATAAAAAATATATTTTGTTTTACAGTTTAATAGCGTATTTTCACCGAAAATATACTGTAGTACCTAATAAATTGTGGTAGTATTGTGTTATTGTGCATATTTTAAATTTTTGTGCGACATAATGTCCTGTTTTAAAAAGTCTATTGTTTGGGCACAGCTTAACTAATAATCGAAAAAAAATTGTTAATGATGATTATTTCGGATGTTCAACCTCTCTCTATTGTGGAACATACTGGATTTTTAGTGAATCCGTTATATAGCCCTCCTATACTCTGTTTTTTTCTCAGGTAAGATTTCGACAGACGATGACAGAAGAAAAGCAGATGACGTCCCATACCAATCTATTATTTTACTAAAAAAAAGTTTTTAATAATTTTTAAGTTAACTATGGATGGGTTTAAATATAAATTCGTCATGCGTCGTCGTCGTCACTTGTTGTTTTTAACCAGTTTTATTGGTTTATTTCAAAAATGACAGATCGTATTTCAATTTTATTGGTTTGGCGGAACGATGAACGACAAACGGACGCCGATGCGTATGAACTCGCCTTTAGATTTTTGACGTTTGTCAAAGTCTTGCAAAATTATAGGTTATAATTTTGTGACAACTTTTGTCAAATACCCTGCGTTTTGGAAGATGATGCATTTTGATTCGTGTTATTACGTGTGTTTTGTGTCTTTTGAAGTCAAGTGGAGGAAAAATCGAGTGAAAATTAACTGTAGAACCCAGAACATAGTTTATGGTTAATACTCGCTGCCCAGGCAGAAAGTCTTATATAATAATAATAATAATAATAATAAAAAAGGTTTATTGTTCCAAATCACATACAAAATACATAATATATAAATTATTTTAACAATTGGAACAAAAGGCACAGTCAGCTTCCTTCAAAGTCGAAGGTGCTGTTGAGGCCACGAAAAAAAAATATACAACAATATTACCAAACAAAAGGCAATAATAATATAATTTTGCACAAATCAATATCATACAAAACTAAAAAAAAAGACCGTACAAAAAGTATTATTACGACACAAAAAAGCAACAATCTTTAATAAACTTAGAACTTTCTACTTAAAATAGCACAAGAGGATTAAAAAAAAATTAAAAATTATATCAATTCATTCCGGGAGCAGTTGATTCTTAATTTTTCTTTTGAAAGACAGGACAGACCTCGAAAAATCAGTAATTGTGAACTTATTTATTGACGTAGCAATTTGGTAGGAAAATGACTTTTTAAAGAATTCTTTTTTATGAGCGGGTATGGTTAGAAGATGTTGTCTGCGGATATTTAGGTTATGCACATCTGTACGAAATTGTAATTTGTTGTAAAGATAAGGTGGGCATTTATGTTTCAGAATTTTATAGAAAAAACATACCGAGTGCAAAAGACGACGTTCGGACATGTTAAGCCAATTAAGTTCTCTAAGTTTATGTGACACTCTTTGTCTTCTTCTTATTCCGCAGATCAATCTTACGCAAGAGTTCTGGATTTTTTGTACTCTGTTGTTATCTTTTGAGTCGAGAAATGGACCATATACATTATCTAGATAATTAAAATGAGATAGAACAAGCGTGTCACATAAGATTGTTTTAGTTTTTTGTGATAAAAAGTGCCGCTGTGAATATATTAGTTTTAATTTTGAAAAAGCTCTGGCCAAGCAGAGGGTGATATGTCCGTTAAATTTTAGTTTATTATCCATGACTAGACCAAGGTTTTTGCAAGACTTCTGAAATAAGATAAGATTATCACCTAATCTAGGTCTAACATGCTCCATAATCATATCCCGGTAACTCTCCGCGCAGAACAATAGAGCAGTTGATTTACTTGGATTTAAATCAAGCATATGATCCGAGGATACTTTCAATATTCTATCCAAATCAGAGTTAAGTTTTCTATGTGCAGCATCAGCTTGATTCTGATTAAAAGATATATAGATTTGTGTGTCATCGGCATACAGGTGATACCCACTGTACTTAAGACTCCCTACAAAATTTGAGGTATATATACTAAATAAGAGAGGACCCAAAATGCTACCCTGTGGGACTCCAGATGAAACACTCAATATCTCTGAATAGTTATTCTCCCAAACAACTCGTTGACATCTATCTGTCAAAAATGATTTTATAAACGATGAAGCTTCTACTGTAAAACCTATGTATTTTAAAATAAGTATTAAAAGTATGTGGTTAAGCACATCAAAGGCTTTACTATAATCGAGAAGTACTAGTACGGTAGCATTATTCTTATCCTGGGCTCTCACCACATCATCAACAACATCAGTCAAAGCACTGCCACAGCTATAACCAGCTCTGAACCCCGATTGTTTAATGGGCAAGATACTAGTAACTGAAAGATAGGATCGAATTTGGGTTTCCATTACTTTTTCTAATATTTTCGACAAAGTTGGTAATATTGAAATTGAACGTAAATGGCTGAATTCTGTGGGGTTACTTTTTTTTGGTAATGGTGTCACATTAGCAAGTTTCCAAGACTTTGGGAAATAAGATCTCTGAATACAAGAATTAATTATATCAGTTATATAAGGCACTATATGAGGACAACAAAAAGATATCAAAGAGATATTTAGATCATCGGATCCAAAGGCTTTAGATCTAATAGCCAGAATAATATGAGATATTAAATCTTCTGACACAGTAGAAAAAGAAAAAGAATTTTGAGGAAGTAAACTGTTGTTATTATAATAGTCTAAGATATCCTTTTTAGGAATATTACATGTTTTTGTTGTTTGGGTAAAATATCCATTAATTTCATTGACATTTTGTAGGTTTTCTGGAATATTACTAGTTTTGTTAGACAGTATATTAAGTCGTCTTAGCTCATTCCATTGTTCCTTGGCTGTGGAGGTTTGAAACTTATAGTTAAGGTATGCTTTTTTCTCTGATCTAATTGCTGATGTTGTTAAATTCCTCATTTGCTTGTAATAATTCCAATGTTCAGGATTTTTTGTTCGACGATAACGATTTAATGCCTGGTTTTTAAGCGTTTTCATATATTTTACATTGTCTGTTATCCACGGACTATATGCATATCTTTTACACTTGATTAATTTCATAGGCGCGTGACAGTCAAAAAGTCTTAGAATGAGATCAGTCAGAAATGTAACTTTTTCGTCAATATCATCCATACCAAAAATTAAATCCCAGGGAGCACTCTCAAGATCCGATTGAAAATTAGTTAAATTCATATTTTTAAAATTTCTATATTTAATAGGTGTTTGACTAGGCTTCCTTTCTATATATTTTAATACTACGTAAACCAGAAAATGGTCCGAGACACTTATATCCTTCACACCAGAATCCTGGACATATTCAGTGTTACAACAAATCACATCAATAAGTGTAGAACTAGTACATGAAATTCTAGTAGGAACAGAAATAATTTGCTCAAGATTAAAAGTTTTGATTACATTTTGAAATTGTATGGTTTGCGAGCTGTCATTATCTATTAAATTAATATTTATATCACCAAAACATATTATTTCGCTGTTTTGTGTAAAAAAATCAATAAGCATATCCTCTAGGTATGATATAAATTCATTATTATTTGCATTAGGCGGCCGATATACAGTGCCTATAATGAGAGTTTTTGCGCCACATTCAAGTTTAACCCAAAGATGCTCAACAACATCCACAGACTCGCCACGTAAAATATCATAAATGAATTGGTTCTTAATATACAAGCCAACACCACCCCCCCGTGAATGCCTGTCCTGTCTTACAAAATTGTATCCCGGAACATCTATAATTTCATTGTTAATATTAGGCGTCAACCACGTCTCTGAAATTCCGATCACAGAATAATCATTACTTAGAACATGGTCTTTAAACGTATCGAAATTATGCACCAGAGATCTAATATTTATATGTGCTCCGTTAAAAAAGGTCATTGTAACAATTTATTAAGAAACAAATTAATTAATCGCTATTCAACTACAATTACAGCCTAATAAACTTAATCCATTAATATAATATAAATATGTCTAACCAATTCTAAATCTAAAAGGTAATTAAAGTAATCTTCTTAATATTTAAAAAAAAAACAATTCTTGTAAACAACATTAAAAATAAAGACACATTTATCGACAACACTATGAGTCTTATCTCGGTATATGAATGACCAACAGAAAAACTATCATGGGCATCAAGTTGGATTTTGACCGCCAGCACCAATAGAATAAAATCTGTTGCTTACTTGAATTTATGTATGTTTCCTGGTTGATCTAGAAGTAGTTCTTGATCTTTTCGCTTCGGACAGAGGTGCTTTGGTTGGTGAGTTGCTATTATTTAGTTCCCTTTTTTTTGACTTTTCGTTTTCTATGGTTTGGAATTTAGCTGTAGATTTTTCTTTATTTTCAATACTTAAAGATGCCGGCACAAACACTTCTTCTGAGT